ATCACATATTACTTATCCAATCATCTTTGATGGACACTTGCATTCTTCCACCTTTTGGCCATTGTGAACAATGCTGCTGTGAACATGGATGTACAAACATCCCTTTGAGACCCTGCTTTCAATTCTTGTGGATGTATACCCAGAAGTCAAATTGCTAGATCATATGGTACATCTCTTTTTTTATTTTTAGAAGAAACATCATAATGTTTTCCACAGAAGCTGCACCATTTTACATTCCCACCAACAGTGCACGAGGATCCCAATTTCTCTACATTCTTTCCAACTCTTGTTATTTGGGAGGAGGGGGGTGGACTAACCATCCCGATAGAAATAATAGCATAACTTTTAATTCATTATTTTGCCATTCTTTCTTTAATTTTGCCAAAACTTCTCCCAGAAGAGATAGATTAAAAGCCCTATGCTGGCACAAACACGCATGTCAAATTCTGTTTTTGCAAAGAGGGAGTTAAGGCAGCTCAGTCACACTAAAGGGACACTGCAATCTATGTTTCCCAATATGATGCTCATATACCATTTCTGACTGGTCTCTAGAATATCCCCTTTAATCCTCTCAAAATTGTAGCAGAAGAAAATGAGCCACAAGATTCAGTAGTGGTCATGGGGGGACAGAGGGCAGTGAGGATCCTCTCAGAGGACAAAGCTAGATATGGAAGGAAAATTAGCCATCTTTACTCTCTATAACTTTTTAAATTTTGCCCCTCAGTCCTTGGCCTCTGGGCAGTAGCAAGAAGAAGAGTGGGAAGTAAAACAACTTAAAATATCTGTTTCAGCTTGAGGGTGGGCTTTGGGCTGCAAGTACCAGAAAATCCAAATGCAAGTGAGTTCAAATGCTATGGACAATTTATTCTTTCACATGCCAAGAAATGTCATCGAAGATACGGAGTTTTTTCATCTTTTCTACTCTGCCATTCTTGGATGTTGTGTCACAGAATGGTTGCAGAAGCTCCAGACATCACCTTCCGGACATAGATTCAAATAGAGACAAGAAAAAAAAAATGTCTCTTCTCACAGCTTTTTTAAATGCAAAGAAACTACAGAATCCGCCTCCGAAGACTTTTCTCCTACTCTTATTGGCCATGCCTGAGTCATGCGCCCATTTCCATATCACTCTCTAGCAGGAGAATGGAGTTATTATGACTTATAATAATCAAAATTCTCAACTCTGAGTCTAGTAAGAGCCAAGCTTCCAAGATTTCCCTGAAACATAAACTAAAGCAGGGTTCTGTTAGCAAGAAGTAAGAGGGAAAATGGATGGTAGGCTCTTCTTAGAGTTCATACCAAAGAGAAAAGAAGCAAGCCCTTAATTTGCCCCTCCTTTCCCCTACACACATACTCTTATTAGTTATCTATTTGTTATCTATTAGTTAACTATTAGTTATCTATTGCTACATAACAGATTACTCCAAATTTAGTGACTTAAAATCACACGTTTATTATCTCAAAGTTCCTGTAGATCAGGAATCTGATTAGGGCTTAACTGGGACCTTGACTTCACAGTCTCTCGTGGGCTGCAAGCAGATGTTGGCCAGGATTGAGGTCTTAGCTGAAGGCTCAAGTGGGAAGATTCTTTTCCTAGTTTTCTTATTTGGTTCTAGGCTGGATTCAGTTCCTCAAGAGCTGTTGGCCTAAGAGCCTCAGTTTCTCATTGTTGGCTGGGCGCTACTCAAAGCCAGCCAGGGAGAGAGACTGCTAGCAAGACAGAAGTCAGAATCTTTGTAATCTGATTATGGAAGTGACATCCCCTCAATATTTTCATATTTCGTTGGTTAGAAGCAAGTTACTCAAAGGGAAGGAATTACATGAGGTCACGAGCACCCGGAAATAGGATTACTGGGGACCATCTCAAAGTCTCCCTACCCTATATATCCACTCTTTTAAACTTCAGGATTTCAGTGAGTGACCACCTGTTTCCCCAGCTTCCACCTTCACCCTCTCTCTTTCTCTCCTCCCAGAACTAGAAAGGCCTTCTTCCCCTACCCCTTCCTGAAGTAGGCATCCCCCTCTTCTTTCTATTGGACAACAACAGCAGAATAATTTTAGGGGAACACAATTTAATGGGAAAGAGGAGAGGATTTCAACAAACACATCTTGTAACACAGGAGCCCCAGGCCTGGGACTTGCACTTGGGTTTGGATATTCCAGAAAACCACCAGGATGACCAGATGGGTGAGAAATGCCATTTATTACTTACGAGGCAGGGAAGCTTCAGCAGCGACCCAGTCAGAGCTGCAGGAAAAAAGCTGCTCCTGACCAAGAGCAAGTAGTTTTTTATTCCCACAAGCAGAGGGAGGGGTTATCTCATGGGGGGAGCAGCCGCCTTCTCAAACGGACGGGAGCAAGATGTTCTGCTTGGTTAGAGGAACAGATAACATCCATGGGAGTAGCAGGAAATGTCCTTGGGAGTAGGCACTACTGAAAGCTCTTTGTGTACTGCCTTCCTTGGCTGCTGGCCGGACAGCTATCAGTCTTTTGAGTATGTAGAGGGGCTATGTTCTAAATTAATCCTACACATCTGTTTAGCATTTTCAAAATCTTATCCCTCTGAGAGACATACAATCATGTACACACTGAGATATGCAGAATGAGTAGTAGAACTGGAAAACAAAGAAGCAAGGAGAGGCATCTCAAAGGCAAGGTATAGTGGTCTACATAAGAAGTCAGAGTTGTCAGAAATTGTGGCTTGGTTTCCCCAAAATGATCAGAGATAGATAGAGAAAGAGAGAGAGAGAGAGAGAGAGAGAGAGAGAGAGAGAGAGAGAGCGAGAGAGAGAGAGATTTTCTAAAGCTTTACCTCTTTCTTTTTTAAGAGATTCCACTTGTAAATGCACCAACCAGAATCCAACAGGAAATGGATGCTGCACTCCTGATGGATAATACAGGAGCAGTTTTTTAAGGGGGCTGTTTGTAAAAGTGTGGGCAGAATTAAGGGCTGGTGCAGCAACCCAGAGCTAGCAAAACTGGAGAGCTGTTAACGCCCATACACCTGAAGGTGCAAAGGAGAGAGTGGTTACAGCTACCCAGAGAAAGTGGCTGTGTGGAAGGGACAGTGGCCTCTGGTTAAGAGAACAGCCACCCATGGCTGCCCTCCCTCTCCTGCCTGTGCCTACCATTGGCCAAACCTAACTAGAAACCAGAGGGCATAGAATCATCAGTGTGGTCCATACAGGTTGGTCTCCTGAGACATAGAGGCGAGTGGAGAAGGGTAGACCTGGTGGGGCAAGCGGAAGGTACAGCACGTTAACCATAGACCATAGTTTCCCGGAAAATATCATGGTGAAAGCCTCACCACCAGTGTTTAGCTTGCTTTTTTTTTTTCCCTAGTTCCTTGAGGTATAAAGTTAAGTTATTGATTTGGGATCTTTCATCTTTTTTACTGTAAGCACTTACAGCTATGAATTTCTCTCCAATAACTGCTTTTGCTGCATCCCATAAGTTTTGGTATATTGTGTTTTCATTTTCATTTATCTCAAAGTGTTTTCCAGTCTAACTTATAATTTCTTCTTTGAGAAGAAATTACATTGTTTAAGAACGTGTTGTTTAATTGCCACATATTTGTGAAGTGTGTGTTACTGATTTATCATGTCATTCCATTGTGGTCAGAGAAAATACTTTGGATGATTTCGATCCATCACCAGAGTTTAGTTAAACAAAAGCACACTACTAAAACACAATGAAATACCATTTTGCATCTATTAGGATGCCTATAATTTTTTTAATGGAAAATAACAAGTGTTAGCAAGGAAGTGAAAAACTTACAGCCCTCATACACATAGTGGTGGGAATTTACACCACTATGGAAAACAATCTGGTGATTCCTCAAAAAGTTAAACAAAGAATTAACTTATGATCCAACGATTCTACCCCTAGGTACATACCCAAAGGGACTGAAAACAGGGACTCAAACATGAATGTTCATAGCAGCCCTATTCACAGTAGCCAACAGGTGGAAGCAACCCAAGTGCCCATTAAGAGATGAATAGATAAACAAAATGTATATCCATACAATGGAATATTATTCAGTTATCAAAAAGAATGAGGTTCTGATACATGGATGACCCCCTCAAAATGTTATACTAAGTGAAATAAGCCAGACACAAAAGGACATATATTAAATGGTTCCACTTATGTGAAATATCTAGGCAAATTCATAGCAACAGAATGTAGATTGGAGGTTACGGGAGACTGGGAGGAAGAGGAAATGGGGAGTCATTGCTTAATGAATGCAGGGTTTCACTTTGAGATAATGAAAAAGTTTTGGAACTGGATGGTGGTGATGGTTCCACAAAATTGTGAATGTAGTTAATGCCACTGAATGGTACACTAAAAAAAGGTTGAGACAGCAAATTTTATGTTTTTTTTTTACCAGAATAAATTTTTTAAATTCCCCCTTCTCTCTTTTTCTCCCATCATACACCAAGGAGAGAAATAAAGAATCCAAAGGGAAGAGAGCTAGAGGATAATAATGAAAACAACCACGGTTCAGTATAGGATTCTGACAGGAAAAATAAACAAAGGCAGCCTTGGGTTGGTGACAAACAGCCCCCCAGACGCACCCCCCCCAAAAAAAAAAGTGGAAAAAGTTCTGAATGACACAAAATAAAAAGGTGCTGGACCCAGTACCAATAGCCACTCACTGCTGACTAAAATACTACTCTCCACTGACTGTCAAGGTTGGGCAGGGTAAGAGGCATCCCCCACTGGTGACTATCCTGCACTGCAGACCGCGTTGCATCCCACCCTGCAAAGTCAAGGTAATCAAGACAAAAGGAAAAGGCAGCCTTTATGGAGTTCATGGCAGGTATCAGGCATTGTTTGTTAACTGCCTTATTAAACAGGCTATTTTATTTAAGGTTCTGGGAGTGGCCCCTGTTTTCCAGCTGGGGAAACTGAATGTCAGGCGGGGCACACGATCACGGAAAAGCCAGCACAGGAACGTAGAGCTAGTGTTTATTTAAAAACCGGCAGCTTCGCGCCAGGGTCCTTCTGAGAGCCACCCTCACCTCCCTGTTGCGCAGAGTGTACACCACGGGGTTTAGCAGCGGCGTCACCACCGTGTAGAAGACAGCCACCAGGCGGTCCTCGTCAGGGTTCCCTCCAGACCGGGGCCTCAGGTAGATGATGGAGGCGCAGCCAAAATGCACAATGACCACGGTGAGGTGGGCCGCGCAAGTGGAAAAGGCCTTGCGCCGGCCAGCTGCCGAAGGGATCTTCAGAATGGCAGCCACGATGAAGGCATAGGAGAGGAGGATGAGGAGAAAGGAGACCAGTACCACGAGGATGCTCAGGAAGAAAATGACCAGAGCTTTGCCAGCACTCTCAGAGCAGCTGAGCTTCAGGACCGGGGCGATGTCGCAGAAGAAGTGCTCTACACGGTCTCTGCCGCAGAAGGCGGAGGAGAATATCATGGTGGTCTCTATCACAGCCACCGAGAACCCGGAACAGAACACTAGGGCCCCCAGGCAGAAGCAGACTGTAGGTCTCATGATAACCAAGTATCGCAGCGGGTAGCAGATAGCTACATATCGGTCGTAGCCCATCAGGGTCAGGAGGAAGCAGTGGCTGCAACCTAAGCCCAAGAAAAAGAACATCTGAGCCCGACAGCCAGCAATGGAGATGGCCTGGCTCTCCATGAGCAGATGAGCCAGCATATTGGGGATGATGACCAGTGTGTAGCAGGTCTCCGAGAGGGACAGCGCAGCCAGGAAGCAGTACATGGGCGTGTGAAGGGTCCGATCTACATGGATGATGGTGATGATGGTGACGTTACCACTGAGGGTGACCAGGTACGTGAGGAAGAACAGCGTGAAGAGGGTGGTCCTCAGGTCTGGCAGGTTAGAGAAACCCACCAGCACAAACTCTGTCACCAGCCGGGTGTCATTTTCCCATTGCTTTTCAGGAGTCTGAGAGGGAAGAACAGAGTAAATGCAATAGAACAAGTTACAAGGTGTCTGCTATGCAGCAAGGACCTGTGCAGTAAGAGAATCATCCTCGTTTTATAAAAAAGAAGAGAGACTCAGAAATGATGTCACTTATTTTCCTAATGTCACCCAGCTAGTGTCTCTGCAATAAGAAAAAAGAACCTAAGTGCCTGTCAACAGATGAGCGTACAAAGGAAATGTGGTGATATATACAGTGGAATATTATTCAGCCATGAGAGAGAATGAAATCCTGCCATTTTTGACAACATGGATGAACCTTGAGGCCATTATGCTAAGTGAAATAAGTCAGACAGAGAAAGACAAATACAGTAAGACCTCACTTATATGTGGATTCTAAAAGAGCCAAACATAAAAACAGAGTAAAATGATGGTTACCAGGGGCCGGAGGGTGGGGAAAGAAGAGAGATGTTCAAGGATACAAACTTGCAACTGGTAGAAAAATAAGTCCTAGGGATCTAATGCACAGTAGAGTGAATGCAGACAACAATATCATATTGTAATCATCAAACTTGCTAAAAGACTACATCTAAATTATTCCCACCACAAAAAAGAAATGATAATGCTGCGATCTGACAGAGGTGCTAATTATTGCTATGATGGCAATCTTGTTACGACATATAAATGTATCAAATTAACATATTGTACCCCTTAAACTTACACAATGTTGTATGTCAAATACATTTCAATTTAAAAAGAAAAGAAAAGAAAATCACAGGAACCTCCAAGGAATAATAACTATATTTGGGGTAGGGAGAGATGGTAAGAACATCAGGGCCTCAGGTTACATCCCGCAGAAACAGATTCTGAGGCAAAGATTCAAGAGCAAATAGTTTGTCTGGGATGTCATCCCCCCAAACCTGAGATGGGGGTGGGAGAAGAAGACAGACAACAAGGGAATCACCATTGTGAGAAACTAGAATTTAATCCCACCTGGGGAACCCTGAGGGACAGTGAGGAATTCAGTGTGTTTTTCCATCAACCCTTGTTTATCAGTGCTTGAGAGTTTCTACCAGGAAACATTAAATTTGACACAGGTACAAGGAATTCAAGGTCTGGCTGATGAGAAAGGGGATGTGGACCAGGAATTTACGATGTCTGCCACAGTCCAAATACCCAAGAAAGGCAAAGCTTGTAACATAGTCATTATCTAAATTTATGTGAATTTTATAAAAATTTAAAATTTTTGTATTTTAGAACTGCATTGGTGTGAAGATGAATATAATCTTCAATTCTAAAAGTTCATTTATTTCTTC